AGGAAGTTTAGAACAGCTGATTATAGTCGCATGTGGTTGACGACTGCACCATCCCACATCAAAAATCGATGCGAACATACGGGATCAGGTCGCGTACGACCTCCGGGCATTCATCCCTGCTATTCATTGCAGGGCCTTTGGCATTTATCCAAAAAGCCTCAAGAAGTTTTCGCGCTGGTGTTTTAGTCTGTTGTGCAAGTATATTGACCTTTACTTCAAAATCGTCTCCGCTATGCCTTTGTATCCTATGCATGCCTAATGGGGTGTTTCGTTTTAGTTTTCGTTTGCCATCTAGGTGTTCTTTTACACGGATACACAAAGGTCTGCCCGTTTCGCCAATATATTCATCTCCGCAATTATTACAAGAGATCAGGTATATCGTACCTGAACTCATGCAATCACCGTCCCTGCCGTAAGGGCAAATTACGCAATTTGTTGTTTCACACAGACGGTCATACAGGGGGTTGCGAACTAATTGGCGACGTAGAGTAGCCGGTGGTAATTCAACTATCGCTACCGACTCTAGACCTGCCCTTCTTAAGCATCGTTTTATAGATACGCTTACTTCATCGCTTATAAAAGGCAACATAAACGGGACTTTCTTTTGGCCAAATGTTTCGCGTGGGCGCGTCGTTCTCCTTGTGAATTTATCTCGTGGTGTTACTATTTCGTAGCCATTGGAGATGGCTATTTGCCGAGCCAAGTCGCGTGATTCTTCCTTTAGTTCCCTGGTAGTGCACACAGAGGTGGTTATTTGTGGCTGCTTACAATACAAGTAGATCTGCTTTTTGTTCGTGTTTCCCTGTTCGAAACATGTTTCTCACAATCGCCCCCTTTGTGTGTGAAGGTTGGGAAGAAAGGAAATGAACAAGAATGTTCTTGTTACTTGGCTTTCGATACCACTTTGTCAGGTAACCGCTACTTGATAGGTTTATTTGAACGTCCAAAAACGGAAGCCAGTTTTTTCTCGGTTTCTCCCGGATGAACTTTATGTACTCGGACTGCTCGTTCAATAATTCAAAGCATTTGCCCATCTCCTCTTGCGTAGAGAAGACGACAAAACAATCATCTACATATCTGCAGTAGAGTAGTGGCCGGAGGTCGAGAACAAGGGTTTCTATCTTAGACGTAAACACAATGGCAAGGCTTGGTGCCAATCGCTGTCCCATTGCCAACCCCCTTATTTGCGCCAAATATAAATATAAATAGCTTTCGGTATTGACTTTTATATTCCTTTCAGAGGATAGGCGATAGAGAGTAGCATCACTAAGATGTTCCTCTTTTATCTCAACATCCAGCTGGTGAGGCATAACTGCGAACTCTCCCCCCTTATCATTAACAAACAATCTTATTGTTTTCGAGTTTATTAATTCTCTAATTTTCCGTATACCACATTTTTGTGCGGCTATAAGGTTAGAGATAAACTTTCTATCGTGGTAGTGATCAAGGGTCTTGAGAACGCCGTCTGAAAGCATGCGGAATTTTATGTCAACTCCATCGTTGGGGTTCTGCTGTCTAAAAAACGTTTTAGGGAAAGGAGATGGTGCTAGTGCCGCTGCTTCTTGATTTTTATCTCTATTTGATGTTTCTTGCTTGGTCTGATAGCGGAGTCGATCTTGAAGCTCATAAAGGTTGCATGCTATCCTACGCAGGGTCGTTTTAGAAATGGGCTGCGATGGTGCAAAACTTGGGCCCAATTCTAATAGCGAGCGCGCATTCTCAGGTATTGTTATGCCCCGGTATACCTGATCTCTTGTAATAATTGCGGAGATGAATATATTGGCGAAACGGGCAGACCTTTGTGTATCCGTATAAAAGAACACCTAGATGGCAAACGAAAACTAAGACGAAGCACCCCACTAGGCACGCATAGGATACAAAAGCACAGCGGAGACGATTTTGAAGTAAAAGTCAATATCCTTGCACAGGAGTCCAAAATACCAGAGCGAAAACTTCTTGAGGCTTTTTGGATAAATGCCAAAAACCCTACAATGAATAGCAGGGATGAATGCCCGGAGGTCGTACGTGACTTGATCCCGTATGTTCGCATCGATTTTTGATGTTGGGATGGTGCAGTCGTAAACCACATGCGACTATGATCAGCTGTTCTAAACTTCCTCATTGGAAGTCACGAAAAAGCGGTGAGTTTTTCGAGACGCTGTTGATCGTGTAATTACCATAGAATCTTTCGTCTTTGTGTAAGTGTTATTGAAGCGTTTGGTCTAGCAGATTGTATATCAGCATACTCTTCCAGGCTCTGAAGAAGGCGATACTGCCGAAACGTCAGCTAGCGTTGTATTGTATTGTGTTTCTCTATGGTAATAAATGTATGCTGTTTAAAAACCTCGCCATGCCATTGCTGTTCACAGTATTGCATTGGCACTTTTTTTTAATTAATGCTTTTTTTCTGCTTTGTTAATCGGCTGTTTCAAAACTGACTGGTCTGTTAAGGGAGAAGCAGTATAAGTATCCTGTGACTGGAATGACGATGGGACCGTGTGCCATTTTCGTAAAGGAGCACTTCGCAAAAAATTCCCCAAAAGACTTGTCAGAAGGTAAAAATACGATGAGGGAAGCGGCTGCAGCGTGGAAATCTCTTGATGAAGCAGCAAGAAAGGTTTAGCTTAGTGTTTCTTTGTTTTGTTGTTAAGGTTTCGATTTAGTTGTTCAGAAATATGCAGAGCTTTCGAGACGTTACCGCGAGAAGAAGATCCATGAATTCGAGGCGCTTTCCGATGAAGAAAAGAAAGAAATGATAATTGCCTCCTTGGAGGAGAGAGAGGAGCGGGCTCGAAGGAGAATTCGCAAGGCTAGACGAGAGGTGTTGTTGTTTTACAACAAATTTTTTATCTACCGTCTCTTACGTAGGGCGCGTGTGGCCCAGTGCTAGGAGGCGCTGCATATGTGATCGATCCCCTCACTCGCATCTATCCCACCGGGGTCGGCAAATTAGTACCATACTTGTCTAGGAAGATAACAGCTCTGACTCGATACATCGATAGACCACCGCGAGTCGTTGTAAAGGCGAGATATGCATTCACTCACCTCCAACGATGCTTAATAAAGTCGAATACATGGTGCATCTCTAAGAGATTGATCAATACGCTCTTGTTTCCATTTTCATTAACGCTCTGAATCCCAGAAGTGGGACAACACTGGTCATCCGGAACGTCCACCTACAGCGTACAACCTTTTCGTGCAAGAAAAGTTCAATCAGTTTAAAGATCGAGGTGAAATTGTGGCGCCTGTGGTGAAAACCATGGCAAGTGTGAGTTCAGAATGGAAGGCTATGGATGATTCCGCAAGAGAGGTAGGTCTACATTTTAGATTTATATGTTTTCAAGTACATCCTGACAAAAGAATAGGGGATGGAACGATGTTAGGTGAAGATCCTTGATATTCGCTCTTAGTGATGGGGGATTTCAAAGTTTTCTATTATGTATCCCAAGAAGGTGAATCGTAACTGTGTTATGGTTCCAGCCATATGTCACAAAGGCGGCAAAGATATTGGAAGAATATAGATCCAAACTCTTTGAATGGAAGTCGAAGACACAATCCAAGGAAGTTGAAACTTGAGCTGTAATTTGTTCTCTTTTGTAAAAATGGCTATGCCTTGTACAGTCATTGAACATACGCCGTTTGGTGCACTAATTGTATGTGTATATATGTCTATGTATCATTTCAGTGTGTTCATTTTGATGTTTTATCTATGTACAATAGTAATGATGCACATTGCCGGATAGTGCTATTAACGTAGAAATCGGCAAGTTCACTTGATCCTGGTATATCAAGTTTTAATTTCCTCTTCGTCTTTTGTTCAGGTAGTCCCTGTTAACGACATTGTTCCTTCTAAATGTTCAAACCGATCGATTTTACCTTTATACAGGTACCTTTCGGTATGAGTTTTCCGAATATCCGTACGGATCACATAACGGAATTCTTCCACAAGGGCAGAAGTTTTACTGGTTTAGCCATTATGGTTCCCTGGAGTTCGGAGGTCAATCTAGCCAAAGTCTACCTCAAGTCGTCACTATCACAGGCAGTTCGCCGCCCTTGTGGATCAGAGGGAGATTTGACGCCACGCGAGTAGTTTTATACCAGAACAGTGGTGGATCCCGGTATTGGTTTCATCCATGGTATTTATCATGGTATTGACAATGGATTTCCTGATATTTAATAGGTGGTATTTCCGCTTTTTTTTTTTCTTTTAATAAAAGAAAGGTAAGTTGTGAACTACCGATGGTAGTTTCATTTCGTTAAGTCTTCAGTGGAGTACCAAATTTACTGCTGGGATATCCACATTGTCCCTTTGTGTCACACATGTGGTAGTGGAGGTGGGATAAGGTGTCCAGATTATTTGTTGCTACGTAACGGAAAACGTAATGATAGCCTCTTAACAAGCAATGCATAGTATTGCTCCTATCCAGGTCAGGTTGAGATCGTCTTTTGATTTATTTGTACTTTTGTTTGTTTCGAAGATTTTATCGCAGTATCGGATATTAACACTGCGACACACACGTGGAATCGATTCCCGCGCCCACGACCCACCAAGCCTTCCATCTCTCCGGAGTCGGCAAATTGGTACCATACTTCTCTGGGAGGATAGCACCACTGGCTCGATACATCGGTAGGTCACTCCGAGTCATTATAAAGGCCAGATACGCATTCAATCACCTCCAACGATGCTTAATGAAGTCGAATGCATGGCGCATCTACCAAGAATTGATCAACGCCGAGAGTTTTATCCTTAACCTTTTATCGGATATTAAACGCTCATTAACTCATTGCCGCTAAGTGTTCTGGGATCGGACTGTGGTGAATTGTAGGTGGTTCGTCCATCCAGAAACCTCAGTCTGGTTGAAGTTCAACGATTTAATATCGAAGCACAACTAGAGTTAAACTTCTACCTAAAGTTACCGCTGTTTTGGAGCAAATCTAAGTGGAAGGTGGAATAGACTTGTACGACTCACACCGGTCTGCGTTAACCTTAAGTGGCGATTTGAGTTATTTGGCATTTTCATTCTAAAACCATGTTTTAAGTGTACCCTGTCCTATAAGCAGACCTTGGTGACTTGCCTTTGTTAATATTAATATTTTCCGCAAAGATAATTGGGATTTCAAAATTTGTTTTTTTTTTTGGAACTATGGCGGTTTTCGTGTCCCGCCGGTGAACAGGACCTACCGCACACCAGAGATGCCCGTTAGAGTTACTGAATAATTAGCGGAGCAGGGTCATAGATGTTACAAATGAATGAATATTGTATCGTATTCTAGTAGGAGTTGCATAGTAAAGTCGTTTGCTGTCAAAAAGGTGTCCGAAGTTGTGGGACTGACCTGTTCTGTTCAATGCTGCATCTAATATATTCTCTGTTGGTCTTTACTGGGTAAGTCGTCAATTCTGTAAGTTTACCTAGCGATCCAAATAGCACAACTCGCACAAGATGGTCAGGCAGAACAATACTTACACCACGGCTTGTGTATCCAAGCAGTGTCTTTTCTTCCCCTCAGTGTTCTCCACTATTGTTCCGGAGATCACTGCTTCTTTCTCCAGAGTGTTAACATTGAGTGAACGAGCAGCACCAAATGCTGGAAACGTAGGATGAATTGAAGTAGCACGTGCAGCGCAGTGGTCGGAGGCGCCTGGTAATACACATGGGATCGATCGCCGCGCATCAGGTTCACCAAGCCTTTCATCTCTCCGGAGTCGGCAATTTGGTACCAGACTTGTCTGGGAGGATAGCAGCACTGGATCGATATATCGGTAAGTCACTGCAAGTCATTGTAAAGGCCAGGTATGCATTCAATAGCCTCCAACGATGCTTAATGAAGTGGAGTGCATGGTGCCTCCCTCACGGATTGTTCGATACCGAGAACTTTGTCCTTTTTATATATAACCATATTATTTAGCGGACAAGCCAATCTTGCAGGTGTCGACTTTCTGGTGTCTTGCAAAGCTCCTATTCAGCAGTGCAGAGAATTACTGTGTGATCATATGCTGTTAAATTTTTGCGGTCTTTGAATCACTGTTTATCATAAATCAAAGATAACTGTCTGTTCATTTCTTGCGAAATTGCTCGTCATTTATTTAAACCTTTGAGAATTTTAAACCTATCTAGATAGACATGATATAGTAAGGGAAAAGAACGCGCAACTCCGTCCTCACCCTTTCGATTCAAAGGTACTTATTGCCTTAATGTATCCGTCAGAAACCTGGTCGATGCGTAAGCAGGGTGAAAGATCACTCAGCGTTATCGAACGCGCAGTCGAAAGGACGACGCTGGGAGTATCCCGTTTCACACAAGTAAGGGATGAGACTCGAAGCTCCGACCTGCGTCAACGATCGAAAATCAAAGATGTCGTTCTGTACGCCAAAGATCAAAAGTCGAAGATAATATGGGCCGAACACGTAGTGTGTGAATGACAACCGATGAACAAGAGCCGTTAGCGACCGGATTCCTCGGGATGTCAAACGCACTGCAGGAAGACCACCGACCCGATGGTCAGGGTTCTTCACGAAGAGCCTAAAAGAAAGATATGATGCTTGACAAGTCCCTAGAGCGAGTAGAACCCACTGGGCTACTCTTGCACGCGACAGGGAAAAATGGAAGATTTACTGGCGCCCACTCGAGTCACTCGATCAACGGGACTACAGGTGATACAGGTGGTTTTAGACAGACAGTCCATCCATCTACTTTCGCAGGTACGTCATCGCTATGGAACATATTTCGCACAAACATAACTGTTGTCGATACTACGGTGCAAATTTAATATATTTGGAGAAGTGATAGCATATCGAGTAGACCGTTTCGAGGATGATGACTTCAGCGAGTACCATTCCGCTGTCCGTAAATCGTTTCCAACTTGTCGCTAGCCTCTCAAGGGTAAGGTGCTATCCTATCCTATCGCAATTCATTCTACCTTGCTTGCCATCCATGTATGGTATCTTCTGATCATTAAACTGCCGGATTTCTGTTTCGTCTTCAATGCATAGTCTCCTTTTCCAAGCGTTCGAACTGAGCAGTCTGCTTTTGTGTTGTGCTTACCTGTTGCATTTAACAATTGCGCAATGAAGCACATTCTTTTCAGCTGTTTCTTTTGCTGCACAGTTTTTCTTCTTGTACTCTTTGTATCCAGTCTATAACTTCCCTGCTAGAAATGTTATACCAAGAGTCAGCCAGAAGAAGAAACTGTGCTTTGAACAAGAATGTACTTCATGCCTCATTTTTGCGATGCACTTCGGAGCTCATGCATTGATCTCCATGGACACTGTGCGCGCAAAAAAAAATAGGCGTCGTTCTGGGCGGAAGACACCGAATAATACGCACAGTTGCGGATGTGTTAACACTTGTGCGACGACGCCTGCCTTCGTTTCACTGCCTTAATGGATGGTACCAAGTTCCGTGTGACACTCACGGTGAATTCAGTGGAGATCACACCGGCCACTGCGTCACCTAAATGACCAACTCTGCCCCTTGTCACTGTGATTTCGGTTCTTAAGTTCGGTTTTTCTCTGTTTCTGAAGAGATTTCTGAGTTTCTCCTATACTCTGGATTCTCTATGTTCTTCTACAAATCCTTCTATGTTTTACATCCAGCTCTTGTGCTCATCGGAAAAGAAAAAAACCCGTCCACTATGCAATCAGACTGCTCTGCGCACTTGAAGAAATCATTAAGACTTGTGTGAACTCTATGTGGGTCACGCAAAGTTTCCTAACGTGGTTGACTTGTCAATCTGTAGCTCCTAGAAGATAGTGCTGTTGGAGACGTCAAGACAAACAGGCGAACGTGGGGTTGCATGTGTATACGTGTCTCACAACAGTAGCCAAGTCTTACGTGGACTTTTGGGTCTCCAAAAAAAGTGGGCTCTTTGTCAGTATGGGTAAGCTCACGTAAATCTCTTCCATTGTGTTGTTCGACGTAATGTAGCAGCCATAAACTGTCGTTGCAGTCCACTTTTCACCGTGGTGATCCCAAGTGGAATTTCGCTGAATGAAGGAATATAAGGCTTATGTCGTGGTTGTTCAAGGTATTTTACTGTTTTGAGTCCACACAGGAATGAACACTGTCGTGTTGTTCGTTTTCATTGGATTCGTTGCCTCTGTCGCCGCTCAAGACAAGAAGATTGAGAAGCTCCAGATCGGTATAAAGAAGAGGGCTGAGTCCTGTGATATGAAGTCGAGGTACGTTCCGTGTTCCTTTGCAGTTTCCAGAAGCTCTCGCGATTCCTTCTTACTGTGCTTAGTAGTGATTCCGGCATTCTCTCTCAAGTGAGCTTTTCAGGAGAGGTGATGTCCTGCACATGCATTATACCGGCACGCTTCTTGACGGGACTGAATTCGACTCCAGTCGTACTCGAAACGAAGAGTTCACGTTCACTTTAGGCATGGGACAGGTAATTCTGATATTGTAGGCTTCGTAATGCAGTGTTCGGTTTCGTTATCCAGTTTTGTTACTTGTACCGCAAAACTGATATTGGCGGGCCATTGAAGAGCTTAAGAGGTCGTTGTCTATGTACTTTAAAGGGCGTGATATAGCTTATATACTTTAACAAACCCTAGTTGTATCGTCTTTTTTATCAACCGAATACTACTAGGAGTTTATCCAGATTACCTATTCGACTTGTCTTTTAACTCCACTAGTAAACTTTTTCCTATTGCCTGGAGTTTTTCTACGCTGTATAGAGCGATGTTTAAAATCAGATTAAAGGATAAATGGTACGCTCTCGGTGTTGATCAATCCTTGAGGGATGCGCCATGCATTCGCCTTAATTGAGCACCGTTGGAGGTGATTAAATGCATATCTGCCTTTACAATGACTCACAGTGTACTACCGATGTACCGAGCCAGTGTTGCTACCCTACCAAACAAGTCTGGTACCAATTTGCCAACCCCGGAGAATTGGAAAGCTAGGTGAGACTGGTGTGCGGCGATCGATCCCATGTGTATTAATGTCATCGGTCCCTGAGCCTCACGCGGTTATATGGTTATGTATTGAAAATCAGGCAGTAGGCGAAATCGTTCTTGTTACTTATAAGCTAAACAATATATGCACATCTTGTTACACTTAACAGCAAGTATTACAAAAAAATGACTACGATCAAGCTGAATGGTAGGAAAACGATGTTTTCCACTTGCGCTTAGTTGCTAGAGATACTCATCCTTTGTATATGACTCCAAGGAAATCTCATATGCAAGCATTGAAAACTACCTTGTTATGTATTTAGGAAAATGTATCACTTGGAAGCTGGTGTTATTTTACTTGCTAGCAACCAACTGTCTTTCATTGTTTTTTTTTCAGGTAATTAGAGGATGGGACCAAGGACTTTTGAATATGTGTGTCGGCGAACGTCGCATTCTGACAATTCCTTCCCATATGGCTTATGGAGAACGTGGTTCTCCCCCAAAAATTCCTGGTTTGATTTCTGATTTATCTTCGCCTTTATTTTCATGAATTTAGTACAAGGTATTGTTTGCTCAGTATTAAATATTCGGTTTGGAGCAGATTAACAACCGTTCATACCACGATAGGCAAATGTCAAGGTACAACATCCAGCATTTCTGATCCCGTAGTGGTTGTTACTGGTTGAAGTAAAAACGAAGGGAGCCTACACGTGTTTACTTACTTTGATACTTATATGGCCCGTCTTCTCTGATTGTGCGGGTCTGAACATAATCTCCATTTTTTGCAGTGTTGATGGTTTAGCCATTGTGCTTCCCTTGAGTCCCGAGCTAAGCCTGGCCGAGTCTACCCCAGGTCGTCACCACCACGGGCAATCGCCGCCCTTGTGGATCAGAAGGAGATTTGCGAAGATGCGACTAGTTTGGTACCAGGACGGTGGTGGATCCTGGTATTGGTTTAGTCTTAGCTGGGTTTATTGTTGGAAACCCCGGACTCCTTCTCATTTTGGGAGACGCTGGTGGATATCAACCCCCTTCCTTTACATCGCAGCCCAACACCCAAGAACACCTTACAGCCGCGATGAAGCGGTAAACCGTTAGGAGGATTAGGTTGAATTTGTTTTTCATAATTGATAATTATCTCTTTCCCCTTAATTGCCAGTAATTTTCATAGTTATACAACTTTACTCAAAATTATCAATTTTTCATAGTTTTATTTTTAGAAAATATAAGTTTGGATCAGAAATATTGTGTGACATTTAAATCCATCTATTCATGTTCTTTAACTTTTTGGTCTGTTTTGAGACGGTGGAGGATAGGTCCAATGCATACTTTCAACTCTATCTTTTAGTTATCATAGAATGTTCGATCGAGTGAGGTTCAACTTACATCGTCAATTTGTATCTACGAAACATAAATCTGACGAGTTTTTAATTTCTAAACAAACATATCTAAGTTCATACATATGTCGAAGTTTGAACCTGTGAAGCAAAGAGATATGATTTTGTCTTATTGATCGCGTCATTCCAGTGAGCCTAGAGTGTTTATAAATTTGGTGTTGGAAGAAATATTTGGCAAGGTAAAGTAAAAAACTAACGAGAGGTAGGCGAAACGAAAGACCCGCATGGTGTGGTGGCGAACACGTTACTCCCCGGAAAGGACAATAGTGCGTTCGTTCCCCACCGCAGACACCTGCGTTCCGGAGTTTTGCAAATATCTCATCATTATAGAAGTTATATTTCGCAATATACCCTGCCATTAAAAAGAATAGGTAGTAAATAATATGTTGTACTGCCATACATTTCATAATGAAGTACCAACATCAGTTTGTAGACAGTGTTTACCATAAGCTTCTTCGAATGCTGCACATGAGAAATATTTCATACCATGTGCAAAGAGGGGTTTAGCACGAAAATTTTTTGCTATGTTCATTCCTTCCATAAAAAAGATAAAAATTTCAGCTAATGCTCCTTTAAAGTTCGACGTTGAATTGATGAAGATTGATCGCCAAGGAGAACTATAAGTGATTTTAAGTAGTGCTGTTGTAAGTTATGTGCTCATACGATGTTTCTAAGATAGAAGAAAAGCGCCTGTGGTTTCTTTAGGGTTTTCGGGATTCTTATTTCATTGTTGTTGTTGTTTCCTTCTTCATTGTTTATGTGAATTACTGTTATTAAAAGTAATAAAGTTTGTTTTCTTGGACCTATTGTGTCACATCTGTTGAGCGTTTGGCATTCTTACGCATCAGCGCCACAATGCCGTGGCTGTGCCGAGTGTCTAAGATTGCCTGCATTCAACCTGTACAACACATCGGGTATACAGGATGCTTTCATATTAAATCTGACCGTAATAACTTCCGTATTAACCGTAATGTTCTAAGTCATATGGTGATTAATAAGTGCCCAAGGGCAATCAAGTGTTTAGATTTGAACCATCGTGTTTCCACTAATAGTAGACCTGATTGCTAAGGACTTTAATGACAGATATTATAGGGCCTCTATGTTTTCGTCGACGTGGAACGACTTTTCTGTTCCTAGAGGGATAAAATAGGGGAGCTAGTAGTACAATTAATCTGGGAAACGTTCACCCTTTGTAATCTATTTGAATACCCTCTATCACGGCTACCTCTGGGCTCTAGGGGGAATCGACTCTACCAGGATTCAACCACATTCGTGGTGAAGGGGAAATTCTTAAGCAACGTCTAAGGCTACTCGTAAACAGTTGCAAGACCGTGGATTATGGTTGCGAGGAAAGGAATCAAATGTGGGAATTGTTGGGATCCGCATAGTAGATGTGAAAGACGGGTCGTGTCGAAAGAGGTGTTGATGTTGCAACATATTTCTGGAGCATCTGATAATTGCACAAACAACTTTACTATTGTGATAGGTTGCTTTATCTTCAATTGGTGTAGAACTCAGGTCTTCAAATAGTTGAAAGCGGGACTTGAATTTACAGTTTCTTCAACGCAGACGAGATAGTTGAAGACAGCGGCGTGCATTGTGCAACATTACCGCATCTTGCTGTGAAAAACCTCACTGCCAAATCGTTTTTTAGACAAATAAGTTCCTTCACGAAGTAAGGCAGAAGCCATCCGAAAATAAGATATGTAATAAACAAGATATAAAGTAGGCTTCTAGAGAGCCAGAATTTTATCCCTCGTTTTTTTTACGCGACCCGTTTCACATCTACTGTGCGGATCCCAGTAGTTCTCGCATTCGATTTGGTTCCATCATCCACGAAGATTTTCCAGCTTTTCTTGTCCGGCCTCGGTTGTTTCTTGAGGATTTTCTTTTCATCATTAATGTCGTTGAATGCCGGTCGAGTCGATTCTCCCTGGATGAGATAGCCAGACTGGAGCTTACCCCCTCGGATTGCAAAGTGATCTTTTTCCAGACAAATCCGGTACCAGCTTGCCGGCCACAGTAGAATGAGAGGCTTGGTGAGCAGGTAGCGGGCTCGAAACGGCACCGTTCTCGTGGTTATCGGCATCATTGTCCCTGCTCGACTATACTAGTTGTGAAAAAGTACGCAATGGCCGACGGAATTTGAATATTGTCACTGTATCAACAAGACTTGTACCTCTGAATGAGAATACAATTGCTGACAATAAGGAAGGCTTGTGTTACCTGTAAAGAAGGATAAACCATGCATTCAACTTCAACAAGCATCGTAGAGGTTGGTTGCATATCTGGATTAGATAATGATATACGATGGCATGACGATGTACAGTGTTAGTGTTGCTATCATCGCAGGAAAGTCTGGTACCAATTCGCTCACCCTGGAGGGATGGAAGCCTTGGTTAGCCCATGGTGGGAGGTTGAACCAAGGACTACGTGTGTATTGCAAAGCATCTCCAACCACTGTGCTATGCCTGCCAACTCGTAAAGGTAATGTGTGAAAAATCGAGCCTGTCGGGATCTGATGTTGTGCTATTATTCTTCACAGGCTTGTCGAACATCGGACGAGGGGGTCGCTGGGATAACATCCTCTGCAACCTGACTTGCAAGGAGGTGCATTTGGCTAAAAATAGTGGAAGGTAAAAATCGTATAGAACCTTTTAACAACCATTCGGCATGTATGACCGCTTACTCTGTGTCCACGAAAACGATTGTCACACTTATAACTGACGAAGCCCCTGCGATAATTACGAATGCCTTTCTCAACCTTGCAACATGGGCAGCACAACTATTTTCTCATTTTTTAGGTCTTCTTTTATCGCTAGTGGTTGCCTGCAGTCCGTCCGGTTCCAAGTTGATGTATTAATTCGTATTGTAGATAGACGACCGCTTTCTTTTCTGCTAGAAAAGAATTGCTACGCAGATACCATGGTGCGATGCTGTGCGGAATTTTGATACAAAGACGACCTGCATTAGGTAGGATCTTCGGGACTACTTTGTCGTGACGCTGTCCAATGGGGGACTCGCGTTGGACGTTAATGAGAAGCCTTCTGGTATCTTGAATGACCATGAGTGGTTTTGGCCATCATGGACAACTCGTACAGCCGCTCACCCTACTCGTTCCATTCTAATCCGTACTTTATCAGTTGGCTCAGTGGAGAATGCTCGGCTTCTTACGAACTGCCACGCGTGACTTTTGCGGGTTGCCGCAAATCGAACCTCAGAATGGGTAATGTGTAAATATAATGACAATAACGATAACAAGATAACGATAATAGCAGTGTACTGCGTGTGATACGAAGAGTTAAGAGCAGCTGCAATAAATCGGTGATATAAGGCGATGAGTAGGTGCAATTAAGACTAATATAGTCTCTGACAGACAGGAGCATAGTCATTCGGGAACATGGTGGTCACCTCACGATACCATCAAGATACCGACTCAAGCCCAACTGAAGACCCGATTGGCTACCAACTGCACGAAAATGTTTCTGTAGTAGGCATGAGCATTTCAAACGAGTGTTCTTGATGTCGTGCAGATGTTAACATGCAAAGGCATTCGAGCCAGCTACGGTGCAATAACATGAACCGGTTGGAGTGCTGCGTCCCAAAGATAGGAATTTCACTTCATAGATCATTGTGTAAATAACATATAAAACACATGATAGTGTTAAGAAATAGAGAATATTCTCTACGAGGTAGAGAACAGACTGTCTATGTGGACCCGACGCAAAAATATGCTACTAAGTTCAAACTCGGCGGTGAACTCGGCAATGATGGCATTATCGATGCATCGGTGATGTAATTTCCTCTGTAGGACTTTTCACACTTCTATGGAACACATCTACAACGTCTGCTTTGTCATAAACGACAGTGTCAAGTAGGCGGCCTCTCGCCTCGGCTAGTACTACGACGTCCTATTCTTCAGCTCGTATAATGTTTCGGATTAAGGTGATGAAGCATTTCGTTATTTTTCTAGAGAAGTATGCATGGGTCGTTTAAAAACCCAAGTTATATTTAACTTCAGCATGAACAGTTCATATGTCTTTGTATGCGTGAAACTCACGCGATCATATTATATTCCTTTATGTATTTTATTTTACCCGCCTCGTCTTCACATCTACTGTACGTTTGCCATCTCTTCTTGCATTCGATTCGT